GTACAGAGGGCTTAAGTTTGAAAGTTTCACTCCAAATATATACTTGCCATTATGACTAAATAGCTAACTTGCTAACTTGTCTGAACATAAAACTTTAGATTTCCTGTCCTGAGTATGACTGTTTGGGTGTTTTTCCACACCTTGGGAAAGTAGTGACACATCAGCATAATTTGAACTTATGTACAACTGTTTATGTTAAAGTGTGTCTGTATACCTTCTGACCCTGTGTCTGGAATACAGAAAATCCTAAATAATTTTCATTTTTAAATTCTTTAATAATATAGGCTGTACAATCATTCCAGCCTGGAAAAAGAAAAATTCAAAGAATTCATTAAACCCCCCCGAAAATTACCATTTGGTGTTTGATATTTAAGCCCACGATAAGTGTATATAATCTTCTGACTGTATAATTTCAAATCAAAGCAACAGATCAAAATCAGCTGATACCCCCCATTTTCCTACAAAGAGACACAACAGGATCTGATCTGATACAGGATCTTCCACCATTAGTAGTCCAGGACAAATCACTGCAATACTTTCAATGACAAAAATGTGTTTTGCCCGTGTGTGCAACCTGTATCAGAAAAATATGACCAAAAGACAAAAACAGTTATTTTGTACATTTCAGTAGTGGTTTCTCACATCGTTTAAATTCCAAAGGAAATGTTTATTCTTTTGGTTTTTCATATAGTTCGGTTTTCATTGATTTTTAGATTTGATTGGATCTTTACAGTTTAGTTTGAATATCAAGACCCCGCACCCCATCTTTTTCCCCTTTATTTCGTCAGGGTCATTTTTCACAAAGGGTTAGGCCTGGCTTTCGTGTAAAAAAGATCTACCAAATCAAACACGTACAACTGCCCGCTCTGGCGACCCCTTGTGAATGAGTAGCTGTATCAGAGCTCTGCTTTAGTAAACTAAAATAACATTTAACCTAAACAAAGAAACTCCAAATTACCTGTGTAGGTTTGAGTGTGGAATCTCTCACGGGGATCTTAACCTGGCATTCCTGCATGAAGACAGCAACTTAAACCCCTTGTTCACTACATTTTCGAGCGTGTAAACGCCACTACTATCGTTAGCATAAATTCTTTTGGCAGCTTGCTAACATTTCTGACCGTGCTAGAACTTTCTACGTTTATCACACTCTGACGGCCACTTACCTCGCTCATATTTGATTGTACCACGGCCCCCCAGCGAAATATAAGCCTACTTTTTTAGAGGTAGACTACATCGAGGTAAGACTACATCGAACAACCTTTTTCGGGGGACCTGACTTTGCTAAGCAACCAAAAGCCTCAACACCAAAGTTGCCATGGAAACAGGTAACTTACTGAAAAAATCTAGGAAATGCGCGATGATGATGTCGATAAGAAAAAAAATACTTTGTGTAAAATATTACATACATTTTCAAAATACTTTTATAGTTACAAATAATAACAATATAATACTAATAGTAACATTATTATAAGATTAATAATAATAATAATAATAATAATAACATTACATGGCAGTACGGTGACTAGATTACCCTCTTTATACGGGACTGCACAGCATTTTTAGTCTTTGTCCCCTGTCTCACATTTCGGCTGGACCGTTGAATAGTCTGGCTTTTATCCATGGTCTATGAAGGGAAGGCTTTTTATTAGCCTAGGCTATAATGACATACTCACCAGGAAAAGTAAAAAGTCACTAAAAAAGGCAAAAGCTCTGCAGATCTCGTTGAATATGATGAAAACAACCACAAAATCAGTTTAGTATACCTCTCAGCATTCTTCATGTGCCCAACTTTGTCCCTCAAGGCGTTTAGCCCACATTTAGTTTGTTGCCATCTGGTTACCCTGCTCTGGCAGATGCCTTTCTACCAGATATTGTATTATAGAGGGGAATAAGATGTGATATTAAAGATTTCTTATATCTGTCCAGACCTGAATCAGTCTGTTAGGGAAGATGCTCCACTGCCTGTCCAGTGGTGCAGAGGATGGTCAGGATTACCTATAGTGGAGAACAGTTTCTTCATAGCGAGCTCTTCTAATATGTTTATTCAGTCTGTGGGTATCATCAACTCTGATCCTGTTCCCCCAGCAGACCACAGTACAAACTGCACTCACCACTCTTGAGTGATAGAATGCCTCCATCTCCATCTGCACATACTGAAGGATTTACAGCTTACTTAGGAAACAGAGCCTGCTCATCTCCCAATAATTCCTGTTTTGCTCTTCCAGTTCAGCCTGTTATCCTTAAGGACACCCAAGTTCTTGTACTCCTAGACTTGGATTCAGATGCAGTGCTCTGTACGTCTCCTCCTGCCCATAACTAACACACAGAACAATGAATGTAGTATTGACTTTGTCATAAAACCCTAAAGAAAATAAAATAAAGGACAGTGATCCAAATGCACTCTTGTGCTGTTTGTATAGTTGTATGCCCTAGTCATTACTGGTCAATGTAGTATTGTTACTGAAAACAAATAAATTGTGATTGAGATGGTGGGAGGGAAAACAAAACAGAACAAAAATGCAAAAGAAAAAAAAAAGATCACTTTAGAAACATTTTTTAATAACTTTTTACAAAATATACAAGTTCAACGAAGTTCCCCCTTCCACAAACATGGCTTATCCCATTATACATTTTATATACAACATTGTAAAAATGCTCAATAAAATAAAATCCTCCAAAACAAATGGGTGATCATCTACAAGGGGCTATACAAAATAGCCATGAAACACTTGATATACCGATTTACTCGAGACTTTTGGCACATTTACAGTGGTGGCTACAAAAACCAGGAGAAGGACATTCATGGCCTGCCATGTAAGGGCTTCGAAATGTCTTCATCACGGACAATTAAAAGTTCAAGTTTAGAGAAAACTCTAAGCTGGGGAAGGATAACCTAATGACAGTGGTTGGAGTGGTTTTTAAAAACATTGCCTGGACAGTGTATGACCCAGACCTGATGTTACGTGCTGTTCATCTTCCTTTTCTTCAGGCGTTCCCGCCAGTCCTCAGGCAGTGCCTCAAAGTTGGCATTCTTTGAAGCTTTTCCTCTGTAAAAATTGAAAAAAAGTTATTTATAATCACTGAAATAAGAGTAAAACTGGGCGAGAAAGCAGCAAAAACAAGTAAAGCTCATTTAAAAAATAAAAAAATTAAAACCTAAAGTAAAAGGAAAGGGCCACAAAATAACCACATACGTGCTGAGCTGCTGTTGCTTCCACTCTTCAATACTTTTCTTGTTGAGCAGCTCTCTATCTTCATCACTGGAACTGCTCTTTTCTTCCTCATCCAACTCCTTCTGTATACTCTGCCACTTCTTCACCAGAGAAGGCATTTTGGTCTTACTTTTCTTGGGCTAGAGAGAGAGAGA